GCCACCTGAGCCCCATAGTGAGTTCAAGGCCAGCCTGAGCTACACAGTAAGACCTTGCCTCAAAAATACATAGATAAAATAAAATGGACTGCAATCATCAAAATCCTCCTGATGAAGAATGCTGTCATTAATGGACTCTAACACACACACAGAACACACATTTGTCACTGAAGCAGGGGTCAAATCATCTAGAAATGATTCTGGCTGGGTCTGGCTTATAATTGGCTTGATAATTCTACCTGATTTGAAAACTCTACTTACCCCGTCTTACTCAGCAGCTTTCTTTCCGGCCTTTGGCATCTTACACCCTGCGCCCCCCCCCCTCCGCCTTACACCCTGCCCCGGCCACACTGACCAGCAGGGAGACCTGCATGTATATCCGCCTTGAAACTACCACTGGCGTCATCCTGATGACTCCGGGTGTGGGGCTTCCTCTTACCCAACCGTAAACATCGCCTCCCCTCCAACACACCTTTCTTTCTTTGTTTTGTTTTTATTTTGTTTTGTTTTGAGACAGGGCCTTGCTACATAGACCAGGTTGGCCTGGAACTCTGGTGACCCTCCTGCCTCAGCCTCCCGAGTGCTGGGATTACAGGCATTTGCTACCACATCTGGCCAGCAAAGCTTCTTGACAGCCAGCAAAGCAAAGACTGGTGCATTTTCACTTCCATTCAGTGCAGCATCCATGATTAATGTGACTGTATATCATAGTCACAGTTAATAGCAGCTTCAATAGGTTCCATTTTTAGTGATTATTTACAGAAACTATTGTTGGGCAAAATATGCTCACTGATCCCTAATTCTCAGACATTAAGTCTTAATGCTGATTCCACCTCCGAACTAATCCCATCTACCCCAAAGGAAACTGAGAATACTCTTTCTCTATAAAATTTGGCAGTTGAGATGTGAGGTTTATATAAAGCATTCTCCAGCTTTAGAGCTTTAAGTCATAGAAGCAATGAGACCATTTATGGGCTGCTTATTAAATCTCATGTGAGAATTGCTGACATAGAACACTCCATTTTTCCACTAAATAACCATAACCAAAAAGCCCATAAAATATAACTCCATTAACAAACGGAGGTTAAAAGATTTTAATATTCTTACACATCATAGAGAATACCCAAGGAAATGTGATGTCTGTTTAGGTCAATTATATGTTTTCTTTCAGTAAGTCTATATGTGTAAGAGAAATCTTAGCCAGATAATAGTCTTTGTCGCAGATTAATCAAGTGTCCATCAAAAATTAAGTTTAATGCTTTCCTTAATAAGCCTAAGGAATCCTGAAGGAACAAAACAGGCAATGTGTGGAGCGTGGCGGCACACATCTGTAATCCCAGCACTCGGAAGGCTGAGGCAGGAGATTGCCTGGCTACATAGGAAGTTCAGAGCACCCTGAACATAGTGAGACTCTGTCTCGAAAAGCAAAACAAAAACAAACCAAGCTCTGTGTCAGTAGTACTAGGCTGCAGGGTGTTGCAACTTCCCGACCTCAGGAAGGGAACAAACTGCCCCCCTTAACCCCCACAAGCACAGCATACAAGGAGAAACTGAGTCCTAATGTGGCCCGTCAACCAGATGACCCTTAAGCCAGGGACTGTGCTCTTCTCCCAGGGGTTGCGTTAAAGCGCAAATCAGCAGCAGGCACACAAAGCTAAGATGAAAACTGTACGAGGAATGAACTTCCAGAGCGGGGCGGAAAGGTTTCGTGGCACTTGACTGCTTTCCTGGAAATATACAATGCCCCTCTATCCCTCCCCCCCCTCCCATCCAGCTAGTGAGAGAACCAAAGCCCACACTAGGACAGCATCGCTCCTGGGTGCCAGTGCCTGTAGCCTCCTCCCTAGGCCCAGAGGGCCCGCACACTGGCAGTACCACTGCTGGGCTCCGGGGCTGACTGAACAGCTAGATGGAACGTCTGGAATAACTTCCCACTTGGAAGAAGTGGTGGCCCCGTCCCCATCTTCTATGGAGACCACGCTTGAGCTTGCTGTGGTCCTGACTCAGTTGCCCCATTGAACTAAGGGCACCCTGCAGACTAATTCTATCCTGGGGCTCACGGGGAGCCCTGCAAATACATGGAGTGGATCGATTCTGTCTGGAGAATTCGACCCCAAGCCATCATAGGTGCTGTGTAACACACGTACTTTCTGCTTTGGTTTGGTTTGGTTTGGTTTGGGGTTTGTTTGTTTGATCACCACAGTCTGGGGGAGAGGGCCGCACTGCCCTGCACCTGCCCCTGCCCCTGTCCCTGCCCCTGTCTGTTTTTGAGACAGGGTCTCATGTAGTTCAGGCTGACCTCGAACTCATTACGTAGTCCAGGCTGGCCTCAAAATCAAGGCAGTTCTCCTGACTCAGCCTCCCATGTGTTAGGATTAGAGTCCTGTGCTACCATGCCAGGGTCAGACCTACAGCACTTTCTAAACCTGAAACTACTTGCCCTGGGGACCTGCGTGTAGCATTTCACCAAATCTTGCAGCCATCTGTCCACCAACATCACACAAGGGGAACGAAAGGGAAAGTCAGACAAGACGCCTCTATGAACCCCGCCAGCGCGCTCCGGGACAGCGACCTGGCTGTCCTCGCTCGGCCGTGCCGCATGCCTGAAGGCTCAGCCCACGAGAGAAGCGGCAGGAAGTCCCTAAAGGGCAACAGGCGCACACACCACCCCTTGGTATCCCAGGAGCCCCAGTATCCAAGGACAACCCGAGGGCCCTGCCCAGGATGCCCACCCCCCACGCAGCAAGTCAGAGAGTGCTTTTGGGGACCCCCATGAGGAGGTCACCATCCATGGGGGTTCCGCAAGCCCCCCATGACTCAGAAGGAGACAGTCTGGGGGAGAGGGCGGCTCTGCCCTGCCCCTGCCCGAGGGGCTGCAGGAATTTCTGCCCAGCGGAAGGCCCTTTCTGGGGAGGGAAAGGGAGAGGGGTGAGCAGCGGACCCTGAGGGCACCGCGCCACCCTCCCTGCCCCACAGATCCCCACTGCTCTGCCCGGCCTTGCCTGAACCATCTCTCCTCTAAGGACACCCGCCGGCGACGCGCCACCTCCCTGCGCCTCACCCTAGTGCAAGGGCCAGGACACCAGCAAGCCCAGGACCACGCCAGGCCTCCGGGGGCTCCAGACCGGGGCCCTTCCACTCTCCTCTCGATCTTCCAAAACAGAACAGTTTGAGAAACACACCACTCCAGGAGTCACCTCGAGGGAGCTCGATCTCCCTCTGCCTGTTATCATTCAAAGGAGGCTTTCACCACACCCAAGGGCAACACCCGCAGCAGCGGTGACCAGGGCTGGCCGCAGTCCTCATCCTCATCTCAGGGAGGGACAGGACCGAGACCTGGCCGCTGCTCTGTGGCCTGGGAAACCAAACATCGTTTGCCTGCTGGAGCTGCACTGTCCTTCTGAAGATTTGGGGCCCAAAAGCAAACAGACTCCTAACGTCACCTCCTCCCACAGGTCACGCGCGCTGTTCACCGCCGCACCCTTAAATATTCCCCTAACCCTCCTGTTAAAAAAAAAAATACCATTCCACCCCACTCCACCCTCCCACCCCCGCGCAAGCACCTTTCTGCGTGTCAGAAAGGCTCTTCAACGTGGGTCTGTAACAAGCAAAAACAACGGGAAGGCCTCTTCCCCTGTGAAACCACTTAGGTGATTTCCATTACAGAAAAAGGTTCTAAGACTTTGGGTCCCTGGACAAAGAGAAACATCAAATATGGTCTTAAGCACAGTCTCTGTATTTTGTTTTAAATATCTAAACTTTGCTTGTTAAAGCCCCCAAGCTGTGAGAGAGAGGCCAGGTCTCTGGTTCCCAAACACCCGCAGGGGCGCAGTCTCCATTTCCCCGGGGCACATGTTCAAAAACAGAGTCCCGGGCCCCACCCCCAAAGATTCAGAGTCAAAACTCCAGGGTGGGTCCCAGGAATCTGCAGTATTTTAAAGTGCCCCAACAATTCCAGAACAAAACCAAACATAGAAAACAATTGCTAAGTAAATAGGGGCTAAAACACCCGGCGTTTAGTCCTAAATTAGTCTCAACATACACCTAAGAATTATCACAAGGCTCATTTTAAAGCCCTGCTTGAGGGCTGAAAGTATTCTAACTCAGGAACCCTGGGCTTCATCCCCAGCATCACAAAATAAGAGAAAAAAATAGAAAAAGAAGTCCCACTGGTCCGGCCAGGTTGTTATTACTTTGGTTTTGTTTTTTCCCTTTTAAGGGCATTCCAAGTCCTGCCTGGCAAGCTCAAGGTCCTGAGTTCAAATTCCCAGTACAAAAAAAAAAAAGCACTCCAAGTGAGGCCGGGTGTGGAGGCACACACCTATGATCCCAGCACTAGGCAGGCTGAGGCAGGAGGCTCACATGACAAGTTCCAGGCCAGCATGAACCATATAGTACCAAAAGAGCATTACAGGTGAATCTGAGAAACATCAGGGTGGGGAAATGCACAGCTGGACAGAAGCTCTGTGACTGTCGCTAAGACTTCCGGTCTGCTGGCCGCTATCAAGGCACACTGGATGGCAAAGGTCAGTGGAAACAACAGCGGGGAACACAGCTGCTGAGCTTCGCTTTGGGTGGGTGATAAAAAAGTGCAATGATACATGATGCAAAAAGCAACCTCAGTGTTGTGTACAGAGATCCTACGCGTATTTGATCACACAGACCCTACATAAAAATACATCAACAGTTCTGCTTTTCTTTAAAAAAAAAAAAAAAAAGTACAATTAAAACCAATTTAAAGCTCTCCAAAACTTCTTCCTTTTCTTTGGGTTAATTTAACCATAAAAAATGATAGAGATCTTAATTAAGATGTTTTGTAAAGTACTTGAGTTTGTCATTTTGTTGACATTTAAATGTAACTTCCTCTAAAAGCTATTCTTAGGTATCAACTAACTAAACTGTTGGTTTAGATTATTGTACTGCCAGATAAGATAAAATTCGAGATAATTTACTAGAGAGCAACCCACTGGGTTAGGAGTCTACTCTCCTTTAACACTTACCCTTGAGGCTGTCTGTTGTGTCGGAGGGGAAGTGTTTTTGCTGCAGTCGTCTGAGTTAGAAGAGGTTGAAGTTGGAGTCATAGGAACGGAATTATTGCTATTACCTGCAGAGTCAAAATAAACCCTGTAAATACACACGGATCTACTGCTAAGGTTGGCAAATACTTCACAATAGAATGGCATTTCATTATATTTACCAGAGCAAGTCTTTGACTTATTTATGTTTTTAGGTTTTCGTTTCCTGGTTTGAATTCCCTCTTTTTTCATAGCAAGTGGTCGAGGCACCTAAAAAATGTTCACATAAGCCTTAAGTTTGTTAAGCACATAGAAGGAAAACCAAAGACTGACATGGGGACTGAAATCCCCCATTTAAAAGAACTTGTCATAAATTTCAACCCGATTTTTATATACAATAGACCCAAGTACACAAGGCCACACATTCGCTGTCAAACGTAGATAGTCCTTAAGAAAAAAGGGGGCATTTGGGCTGAGGGTGCAGCTCAGCAGAGATGGATTTGATCCCCAGCATGGAAAAAATAAAGAAGAAAAGAAAGAAAGAAAGAAAGAAAGAAAGAAAGAAAGAAAGAAAGAAAACAAACTGAGGGAAGAAGGTAATTTACAAAGGAGAATTTAATTCTTTCAATTTGGTGTTTATTGCTTGAATAGCCTGGGCAATTTAGGAAGATCCTATCTCAGGAAAAAAAAAAAAGTAGCTTGGCATAGGAATGTAGCGCAGTGACAAAACACTAGCCTACCAAGCACACGGCCTTGCAAAATATAAGTAGGTAAATAAATAAATGAAATCAAAGAGATCATATACTCTTCCTCTTACAGCTTATTTTTCTTTATAAGTTAGAGGTATTTATAGTATTTTATGCAACACTCTAAGTTGAAGTACAAAATCTACCAAGTGTATTTACCCTTCTAAACAAATGTCTTTGCTTGCATTCAAGAATTTTATAAACTTATTGTGCCTTGCTAGCTGACCTGACGGCTGCTGACCATTTAAACCTGCGGCCTTACACAAATGCACCCTCGCCCTTTCGCATTTCCAAAATGGGAAGGTGTCGTCCAAGGGCTGCTTGTGACAGCTGTACCGGCAGTGACTTATTTTTCACGGCCATGAGATAATAATTCCTATCGAAATGAGAACACCTTCCAGTCAGTGGGGCGCACAAACGCAAGTGTTTCGCTTTCACACCCTTTGCTGATGTCTTGTAACTGAAGCTGTACAAAGCACGAACTAAACATACACACTCGTAAGCAAAGTGAGCCACGCACCCCGTGGAGCTTCATGTAGAGCCCGCACGCATTGCACACGGGTTCGCCCTCCGCGTTCCGGCGCCATAAGGTGGTGGTGGTGGTGTGGCAGTTGGCACAGGACAATCCAAGCCGCCGCGAGGAAGGCTACAAAGAAGCACAAGGAAGAAAGTGGAAACGCACGTAGGGTTTTATGTTTTGGAATGACCTGAAGCGCTAGCGCATCAGGAGCCCGTCTTCACCGGGCACATGCAGTGACCGCTGTTACACTTCCTAAGGGGAATGAGATTTTCTAAAAGTTGCCCAAAGCTGTATCTTGGAAGACACCAGAAGGGACGGTACAGTGAGACGGGACCAGGAGTGTCCCTAACTCCCAGCTGAGGAAAGCCACGTTGAGGTCACATCTGAGATGTGGGGTCCTGAAGTATGATCGCACACATCGGTGTTCAAGGGCTTTGGAAGCCGCATCCTCCTCTTGGAAACTGGCAGGGCCTGCCCGGGTCTGTTTCTCCCTACGCGTAGAGGGATCAACCAGAAACTGTACAAGGCGGGAGCAATCTTAGAAATAGAAGATAAATATAACAAGAAGATATAAAATTTTTAGAAAGAAAATGCTCCATTTCCTCTCAATTATTACATGTGACTTTTAAAGAATAAGACTTTTTTTAAGAATAAAAATTTAAGCTAGTAAAACTTCCTCCCTCAGAATGGCAAAATATAGCATGTGTCTCTAACTTACTAAATTTAAGTTTCTTTTAAACTGGTTTTAAGTGACTATAAAAACTGCTATGACTTCAGTTTAAAAAAAAAAAACTATGGGGAACATTTAAGGACGAAAGCAAGTTTTAAGTAACAAAATTAGCTAAAGTTAGCTGTACATCAGTCTGAACAAGAAGTTACGGAGAGCAGACAATAAAAATACCAGCGAGGATGTATTAAGCATTCCCAGACTAGAGGACAGAGATTTGCAAATTCTCTGCCGGCAAATTGAAATGATGAAATTGGATTTTGCATTTGCAGTTCACACCCTGCTCATTGCATTAGCAGCATTCTTTACAGCCCGGTTGTAAAAACAGACACCAGTAAGCCTTTTAGCACTGCGACATTTTTCACAAGTCCGTGCTAACAATTCTTAACACCCATTCTTAGCCCTGGCTTCTAGAATGTGGTTAAAATGATAGGAAGCCTATTTGGAGAATGTCTTTGCTAAAATGATGAAAATACTAATAAAACCTTACACACTGGGGCTTTTCTTTTTCCCTCTCTCACTGAGGTTTAAAAACAAATACAGTTTTCTAGGCAAGCACTCCTTTCACAAATGTGAAATCTCAGCAAACAACGGACAGGAAGATTCATTTTCTAAAACGGGCCATTTATGAGTTTCCAGGGGAGTCTGGAGCCAATGTGGAGCAAACTTGTTATCAGAATTTGCCATTTTAACAAAGAACTTTATGATTGTCAACTGCAGATCATAAGGGAAGCCAGTCCTCATAAACATGTGAGATGAAGGTGATCGGGTTATAAAAGTCCCTTGTAGCAAGCGAGCTCAGTTATATTCCTCACTGACAAGGAATTCACGTTACACCATAAATCTCGCATTTTGCAAGGCATTGCAAGTTCAAATCCACACTGATTGGTTCTGTACTGCTGGCTAAACAAACTCGGGTTCAACATTCTGTTTCGGGGAACTAACGCAGACCCATGAAAACCATAAATACGAAGCCCACAAGAAGAGCTAATTGATAGTGACACACCCTGCAATTGGTATCACTGAGAGCTCATTTACAGAGCACACTGGCTGACCTTGGTCTCGGCCAAGACACCTGCCACACAAAGAAAAAGCCCTTTGCTTGCCCGTAACAGTTACTTTTACTGGTAAGTGCGTGAAATAAATGGTACTATCTAAGGATGGATGTTCCTGGATGACATTTTTAATGCAACTAGACCCTCACTGGCTACTATGACCCCATCGTGAGACAATGTTACCTTTCAGAGCTTAGCGATTACTCGGTCCAATGTGCCCTTCCCAAAAAATAAATAATTGTCGGTTTCATTGTTCATGAACTGTCAATACCCAAAACCAAGGAACTTCCCTGGAATATTTTCCTGTTACTTTTAACATGGTATATTTGAGAATAATTAAAACCATAAAAGCATAGTTACGCACCAAAGCCACGGGTAACCTTTCAAAAAACTTCTAAGCCATGGGCACATACAGTCATTAAATTAACCTGGGCCACTTAATTTTAAATGCATTAAAAACAAAACAACCATAAAACTAATTGCTTCTCTTTAAGGTGTCAGACTACATTGTGTGCAATTTCACTCTAATCTATTTAACACAAACAACATCTGTAGCATTTGTTCTGCTAATTAGAGTATAACAATTAAATAAATTACCTGGATGCTTAAGACGTCTGGCATCTAACTGCAAAATTTTACTTTAAAAAGGTGTTTAGGCAATGAGTATTCGGGCTGAACAAATGTTAGCCTTCAGTGGGGCTGACGGAAGCTTTAGTTTCTCTAACTACAATAGCAGTAAACACCCACTCCTTAGAAGAATACATAACAATGCCAAAGTGACATTAATCCCTGAAGAAAATCAGAATTCCCATACTTTAAAAGATGGGGAAATCTGTTAGAATTGGTGGAAGTCCTTAATTATGTATATTATCACACATTTTCCCAAGTTCTACACGGTTCTCTAAAGAGCCAGATTTTAAAAAAACCGAGATTAGAGTAAAACATTCAGGACTCAAGGGCGATCCAAAGATGTGGGACCTGGGGGCTGAACCTGTCTCTCTCTGAGGCCCAGGCATAGAAAGCCGACAAAATAAACGAGACTCAGCATGTGGCTAGAGGGGCCGGGGAGGTGGAGGGTTCCTGTCCTACTGCCTTGACCATGGAGTGCCCTAAGGGACCCTGGCTTCTCGTGAATAAGAGTCAAACCAGACCAAAGCGGGCACGGTGACAGTCCTCCTCCTCCCGCCTCACTCTATCCAGTTTTTATCCCCAGAGATTTCACCATTCCCAATTCCGTGACCGTCTTCCCAAAATTATTCCCATGCACTGGCAAGCACATCTAGCAATATGCAAATAACAGATTTTGATTTTTAAAAAAATAGCAGCAGCCCGCAGCTCCCTTTGCCTGCCCGAGGGAGGCCATCCGCTCCGGGTAAACAGGGGACAGGACAGGCTGCCAGCGGCTGGGGGGCTTCCTCCCGGTGGGAGGCCTGCGTCCCCGCCCCACCCCGCGGGCGGCGGCCCCACTCACCACGCGCTTCTGCGGCTTGATGAGGGGCCGGCTGAGGCCGTTCATCTTGCTGTAGAGGCCGCAGGCGTTGCACAGGTAGTGGCCGGTGCCGTCCCGTCGCCACAGCGGCGTCTGGATGGAGCCGCAGTTCGCGCACTCGCGGCTTTCGGGCAGGTCCTCCAGCAGCTCTGCGGCGACAGCGGGCGAGAAGTGGGTGAGGCCGCGCCGGCCGTACCCCCAAAACAAAACCGGTACCCGGGCTCCCCCCACGCCGGGCTGGGACCCCGCCGCGACCCGCGCGAGCCCCCTGGGTCACCGTGCTCTGTGCCCGGACTGCAACGCCCTCTGTCCCCAGAGAAGCAGTGGGGAGCCGGGATGAGCTATGCGGAAGTCAGATGGGGCCCCCTGAACCCCTCAAGCTGTCCCCCAAGCTCTTAAAATCTGAAATCCATCAGCACCACACGCTGCCTGGCAAAGCCCAGCCAATCCCTCAATCCTAACACCGACCACGGATCTCCACAAACACCCCAGGACACGCTGCCTTGCTCACTTTCTTTGGTTCTGTTTTTTAGGAAAGGGTCTCCTGGCGTGGTTCAGGCTGGTCCTGCACTCACTTTGTAGCAGCCCAGGCTGACCTCCAACTGGCAGCAATGCTCCTGCCTCAGCCTCCACGCCTGCTACCTTGCTCAAGTTTATCGCAAGTAATTTAAAAAGTATTTTTTATAGCCGCCACCTTTCTTTACATGCCTTTTGCCCAATTTAAAAAAAAAAAAGGGTTAAGTGAAATTGTAAGTTCTATTCTTGGGCACAAATGTCGATTAGAATGAGAAGGCAACTACTCAGGCCTTCTGAGGAAAACAGCGCAAGTAGTAAGCACAGAAATTAAGTTCTATTTGTATGTCACAAGGGACAAGCACGAAAACACTGACTTCGACCTGTAAAAGGTTTTTACAAAAGGTTAATGCTTCAGTGCTCGGGGAAGAAAGTACTGAGACCTTGCCACTGATAAATAAAACTGTGCTATTGTCCCACACTAAAATTTTAATTTCTGCACTCTATTTTAAATGTGCTCAAATTCATCTTTTTTTAGTGATCTGCTTAGTTTTTAGAATTCAAATAACCTAAACCTGCTGAGAAAAACAAAGCCCAGTGAACAGTAAATGGCTAACATTACTTCCTCTGAAGAAGGTTCAAAGTGAAAGAACGCGTTTTCTAAAGTGAGATCGGTACTTATTAAATATAGGCTCCTAAGAAATAAGAGTCTCCAATTTGGCATTCTTCAGGAGTATTTGTGAGTCGCTTTTTAAACTAAATCAACATCACACCTTAGCATTTTACTTGAAAATTAAAAGACTTCTATCCTTCTGTCCCCTGCAGTTTATAGCTAGCCTCTACTGTCAACTCTAGTAAAGACATTAAATGTGATTTTCACATAAAAATGCTTGCGCCCATTAATACTATTTACCCTACCGAGTAAGAGCCCTGCCTCCTCTCCTTGAGTTATTCCTTTGCTTTAAAGAAGCTAGCATCCCACACAAACGGAGTTCAAAGTTGTCATGGAAACAGTGCAACTCGTAGCACATCACAAAGATTTATTCTTCTCCGCCCTAAAAGCCACTATTGACCACGGGTAATCAGTAAAGCGCTCGGGACTTCAAGGACACTGAAGTTAAACAAGGTATTTATCTTCGTTGTTGACTTTAAAATGTTACCTATCAGAGCCCCTGGCCGGAGGAGCAGGGACATTCCCTGCAAAACCGGGAACAATAAAGGCAGACACCGGTGTGCACCCCAGCTAGAGCTCTTTAAGCCTCTGAAAACCCCAAGACCAAATTTATAAAGTCCACCGTGGCGAAGTGAAATCTAGGAAGGTTGCCTTTCTCCCTCTCACTTCCTTTCAGCTTCTCTCGCACAACCACCAAGCAGCTGTAATTCCCTTACTCTAAATTTTTTCCTGAAAGCTGTTTTTATCAAACTGACAAGAGTCGGGTCCCCCTGAAAGCAGCGCCTGTGTCTGAGGCGACTGCTTGGGGTGCTCCTGGGTCCCGGTGGTCAGCGATGCAGCCCAGTGCTGGGGTGCTCTGGGCCCAGGGACGGGGTGAAGGTTGGCGAGCGTTTCCAGAAGCTTCTAGACTGTCCACACTGATCATTAATAAAGCGTGGTGCTCAGGTTTTAGTCCTGCGTGAGCTCAGACCAATTGAACAGTCTGCCTCCAAAAATGCTTCAAGAAAAAAAAAAATCAGGAAATCTAGCTAGAAGCTGGCATTAGAACAGCAGAGAGGATAAGCAAAGTTAGGGTCCCTCCCCCTCACCCCAAATACTGGCTACTTCCTGAACAGACTATGCAAACTGGACATCCCCAGGTTCCTATTTTTCTTTTGTTAATATACAAACGGGTTTCTTTTTTCTCTAACTTTGTCAGGTCACATCCAGAAAGTGAAAAAATTAGACCAAGAATAGGCTAAGCTTAAAACCAAAGGGACCCATATCGCCTGCAACTGCATCCTCTAAGAGGGTTCTCGGTCGGAACCAGTCACTGCCAACCGCTGAGGACTCGGGGGTCTTCGGAGTCGCTCTCGCCCACGTGACACGCCGCAGGGTCGGGGAGGAAATGGGGGTCAGGCTAAGGTGTGCGGAGAAACAGGCCGGGCTACGGTCTGCCCCAGCGGCAGCCGCGCCCCCTCATGCACAGCCGGGTCCCCGCGGGGCTCCCAGACCGGCCCAAACGCGACCCACGCTGCCACCACCCCCTGCCGCTCGCGTCCCTGCCCTCCTCCTAATCAAACGCCAGTACGGTGACAACTCCCGGCCCCCTCAAGTCCCCACCCCACAGGGCCCATTCCCCACCCAGGCCACACGCGGCCCTAAAGACGGTCTTCCCGGCCAGCAGCGCAGAAGCAGGAGAGGGAAGTCTGGACCCAATCTCGCAGCCCTCGGGGGAAGAAAGGCCAGGGGACAGTGTTCCTCTCAGCTCCTTCACTCGCACACCCCCAGCACTGCCCGAGGCCTCTGCACACCCCGGGAGCAAGGTCCCATTGTAACTTGGCAGTTAGAAACCCTAGTAGGACTCGCGTCCCCAAAGGCAGCGCCGAGGGCCCCCAGAGAAGCCTAGACGTGGGCCGCAAACCACAGCTGGCCAGGACACCCGACTATGTGGGCAACAACCCTGACAAACGAACGAACCAACAACCAAAGCCTTGATTTTTTCCTTAGGATCAAGGTTACCCAACAGGTGAAAGAGACCTGCCAAGGCTGCGGCTGAGAAAGGAAGTCAAACCACCAAGGCACCAAGGCAAGCGCTTTCTAAAAAGAGGCATTTAAGGGCTGGGGATTTAGCTCAGCGGCACAGCGCCTGCCTGGCAAGCGTGAGGTCGTGAGTTCGATTCCTAGTACCAGAAAAATAAATAAATAAATAAATAAAAGTAAAAAAAATAAAAACAGGCATTTGGCAGTTTTGGTCGCCAAGCTTATCCCACACGTCCAGCCCAGCTCCAGGGCAGGCGGCGTGCGCGGAGCTGGACTCTGTAAATGTGGGGGGTCACGTTCCAGGGTCCTTGAAGCCGGGTCTGGGAACAGCAGCCCCAGACCCCCACCCCCCGCAGCTGACGCCAAGCCCCGAGCCTCTGGGCCGCCCCCCTGTGAGGTCCTGCTCTCGCTCAGCGGGGGGCGCGGGCCGCAGCCCCTCTCCCCACCTCCTGCAGAACACACGCGCGTCCTGGCCTCCCGAGAGCTCAGTTGAATGAGAACCGTGTGCGTTTGGGGGAGGCTGGATTAAGTGCCCAACAGGACCCTCAACTCTCCCAAATGCGGGTGCGCGGAGGCGCTCGGGCATGCCAGTCCCCTGCAAGCTCTTCCCTAGAGGCCCCGAGGTGCAGGGTGCCGGGAGCAACCCAGCCTCTCTGCGCTCCCCGCCCGCGGGCACCCTGCACCACCCTGCACACGGACCCAGCCGGCCGCACCCCCGCGCCCCACTCCGCACGCTTACCTGCGCTGGGGCCCCGCGGCACGGGGAGAGGGCCTCCGGCGCGGCCCTGCAGGCTGTGCAGCACCGGGCTCTCGAAGGGTCCGGCCGGCCAGGCGGGCGTCAGCGGCGCGCCCATGTAGGGCGAGTAGGGGCTCGGGTGGTGGTGATGGTGGTGATGGTGGTGGTACGTCCCGTTCAGCGGCCGCGCGGCAGACAGCGAGCTGTAC